GAATTAAAGCACTTTATCAATGTATGTTGCAATTCTTATTGAGGCCTGTATATACAATCATTGAAGTCTTGAAACCCAACAACACTGCTGTGTTATTGAAAAAGATTGACTACTTAGTTGCATGTCATAAGAAATTGATGAACAACTCAGAGGACTTCTATTATGATCTTTTTCTTATTGATTTGAAAGAATATCAAAAGTCATTTGTCAAGACATGTTTGAATAATTTCTACACAATCAGCCAGGACTCTATTAAAAACATTGACATTGATAATCTCATGAAGCAGTTAATGAATTGTATGAGCAAGTTCAATAAATATCTTAAATCTCCAGGAGTCAACATGACTACCTTCTCTATGTTAAACTCCAACTTGTCTGACATCATAAATTTGAATAGTTTCAAATATGAGATCTGTTACTCAAATCAGCATATTAAGAACTCTTGTTGATAATTATACTCCAACCTTGTCACTGAAGAGTGAAGAGAGGCAAATAAGAATAAGATTGGCAAGTTCATGGAAAATAGCAATATCAGCAGTCACAATAAACAGAAGAACAAAAAGAAGAATAAGAATGATAAAAAAAATGAATTTTCTGATTTTCTAATAACACAATCTGCTGCTATCAATGCTGTAATTGCTCTATCAGCAATCACTAACATTATCTTCAAGTCTTGATTTCTTGACATGTGTGCAAGTTATCATATAATAAGTGAAAAGCAGTCTATTATTCAATGGAAAACCTATAATAGTGACTTCAAGATTTATACAGCAGATGACAGACATGATCATGTTAAAGAAATTGAAAATCTCATTCTAGAATCTGATGAAGAGGATATATCTATATGTGATATTTATTATGTTTGAAATCTTACTATCAACTTAGTATTTTTTGCTAAGTTGAAGAATCAGAGTTTTTGATATGAACTTTCAAATTCAAACACCTCATCCTACTTCATTATCAAGACTCTTAATGATGTTATTTTTACTGCAAGTTGCACAGCTCAGAGTTTGATTTATAAAATAGTTGAAAGAATATCAGAAGTTAATACTCATTATGAGTCAAAAGTGATCTATTTCACAGCAAAATCACATATATATGATAATGATTATGCTAAGGCCTTGGCTATTGCTGATGACAACAACCTCATCAATGCTCAATTCCAATCTCAAAAATCATCAACAGCTGTGAAAATGCTTGCTGATTGATATGTTGACCTAAGACATATACACATGAGAGTTATTATAGCTTTGGTAAAGAATTCACTATCTGATATCTGCATTAAGAGTCTCAAGACTAATTTCCTTTACAATACCTGCATCAAAGCAGGTATGATATGAAAATACTTGATCATCCCCATGCAACAGGCCATAAGACTAATGGAATGGATCCATATTGATCTGGTAGGTGGTGACCGCACATTGAGTGATACAGATGATCATCTTATAGAATCTCACCAAGGCACAAAATATTTCATATTAATAACAGATAATATGATATGATTTAGATAAATCTATTTTCTATATAGCAAAGATCAAGTATTTGATTATTATTCTCATTGAATTAAGTTCATTAAGAACCTCAGTTTTTTGACCCCTGTCTACATCAGAATAGATGTAGATGAGGATTTTTAATCACAAAAAATGATAACATTAATGATTGCTGATGGCATAGTGTGAAAATCAACTACTTCTCAATGATCTCATCAAGATAATATATCTGAACATGGCATTCACATCATTATGACGTGAGCCAGAGTAATCATTATAGAAAAAGATATTTCAAAGAAGTTCTGAGCAGATGTTTTAGAAACAGTTATTTTAATTATGAATAATACACTCAGATCTACAATCTTATATAATAAGAAGTATTGGCCTGCAATTATAAATAATGATAGCAAGAAGTTCACTTATAGTTCTCATATAATTTCTTTTTCAACATTGATGAATGTGTCACTGCAAATCACTCACTTCTGTGAGCTTAAATTCAATATTTTTGTTCATCTTCATGAATTGCAGAAGCTAGTATATAAGCTGTCTGCTCAGACTAAATTATATAAACTTATTGAATTTCATGATCAGTCAATCTATCATGTGTGGAGTTCTATCTATGATAAGATTTTTGATACATATGATATAGTTTTCCCTACAAATGTGCAGGAAATAAAAAAGGATTCCACTACTACTGTGATAATCAAAGTTGAAAACACTCCAACCTCTATCATCTATTTAGTAGAGAATGATTCTGATGTTCCTGATTTTTCAAAATCATATATTCCATGAATGAGGTCTGTGAAAGTCTTTATGATATACACATCTTTCTCAATTACAGGCAGCTTGCTGAAAAGCTTCAAGAATGCAATTAACTGTCTGCAGATGAAGTCATATTGAAGAAAATCTATGTAATACAAAATTGATGATTTTAAATGTTGAAAGACTTGAACATTAATTTCATGTTCTGATGTCTCTTATGATGAGCTGATGACACTCAGCTGCTGGGTTTTTGTTGAAAAAAATTGCCTCAATGATTTCAATGCTGATGAAGATAGCATATTGCAGAAGTTTAAATGAGTAATTTGTGACAATTGACTCAAAAAGAGAATATATCAAGAAACATACACCTCTGTAGTTACAGATATCATAAATTACATGATGTTTGCAATCACTGCAAAACATAGTTAGACCCTACAGAAGATGAATATAATGATAATGTACTTACACAGAAAACTTGAAAAAACAGTCTATATGAGACAATCTACTGGTTTCAAAGAAGGAGCTCTATGTACACTTGTTTGTGCAGTTGAAGAATCTCTATACAGATTGAATTCAGTTGTTAAAATATAATATGATTACTTGACAACTCTGTTACAGAAGAACAACTTTATCTCAAGTTCTTATGATCTCACTATTTGATGGCATTCAGCCTGAAAATATCTATATATGATTATATATGTTGATGATCTTCATATTTTTGTGGATGTTCTAAAGGATGCTGATTAGCTAGTTGATATTCTGCATCAGAAGCTTGAGATTAAAGATTTGAATGAACTCACAAAATATCTAAGCATGATAGTAAAATGTACAAATGACAGTATTGAATTAACTCTCTGATGTTATAGAGGTTGAGATGTTTTTAACTTTGATTGTTGTGGTAGTGATGGAATTCTTTTGTATTTCCTGTACTTTTGTAGGGAAAACTATGTCAGATATATCAAAAATCTTATCAGAGGTAGAACTCTACACATGATAGATTAACTGACCATAGAATTTAATAAGTTTGCATAATTCAGTCTGAGTAGACAGCTTATTTACCAGCTTCTGCAATTTATAAAGATGGACAAAAACATCAGATTCAAGCTCACAGAAGTGAGTGATCTGCAGTGATACATTCATAAATACTGAAAAAGAAATTGTATAAAAACTACAGACAGACTTTTTGCTATCATCATTTATAATTACAGGCCAATACTTATCATTATATAAGATTGTAGATGTGAGTATATTATTCATGATTAAAATAACTGTTTCTAAAATATCTGCTCAGAACTTCTTTGAAATATTCTTTTCTATAATGATTACTCTGACTCATATCATAATGATGCAGATGTTATATTCAGATACATCATCTTGATGAGATGATTGAGAAGTAGTTGATTCTCATACTGTGTCATCAGCAATCATTAATGTTATCATCTTTTGTGATTGAAAAACCCTGTATACATCTGTCCTGATGTAGGCAGAGGCTGAAAAACTGAGATTTTTAATGAATTTAACTCAATAAAAATAATGATCAAATGCTTGATCTTTGCTATGTAGGAAATAGATTCATCTGAATCACATTACATTATCTGTGATTAACATGAAATATTTTATATCTTAGTGAGATTCTATAAGATGATCATCTGTATCACTCAATGTGCAGCTACTACCTGTCAGATCAATATGGATTTATTTCATTGACCTTACAGCCCATGGCATAGGAGTGATTGAGTATTTATATGTCAGACCTGCTTTGATACAGATGTTGCAAAAGAAATTAGTCTTGAAGCTCTTGATGTAGATATCAGATAGTAAATTCTTTGTCAAAGCTATAATAACTTCTGTGTATATATGCCTCAGGTCAACATATCACTCAGCAAGTGTTTTTGTGGCTGTAGGTGATTTTTGAGATTGGAGTTGAGCATTGATGAGATTGTTATCACCAGTGATAGCCAAGACCTTAGCATAATCATTTTCATATATATATGATTTTGCTGTAAAATAGATCACTTTTGACTCATGATGAATGTCAACTTTCAACATCCTTTCAACTATTTTATAAATTAAACTCTGAGCTGTGTGAATCACAATGAAAATAATACCATTGAGGGCCTTAATGATGAAGTAGAACAGAGTGTTTGAATTTGAAAGTTCATATTAAAAATTCTGATCCTTCAACTTAGCAAAAGACACTAAGATGACAGTAAGATTTGAAATATAATGAATATCACATATAAATATATCCTCTTCATCAGATTCTAGAATGAGATTTTCAATTGCTTTGACATGATCATATCTGTCATCTGCTATATGAACCTTGAGATCACTGTCAAAGGTTTTCCATTGAATAATAGACTGCTTTTCCCCTGTCATATGAAAACTTACATACATGTCAAGAAATCAAGACTTGAAGATAATGTCAGTGATTGCTGACAGAGCAATTGCAGTGTTGACAGCAGCAGATTGTGTTGCTAAAAGGTCATAAGATTTATTCCTTTTATCATTGTTATTCTTCTTTTTGCTTTTCTGTTTATTGTGACTGCTGATATTGTTATTTTTTATAAACTTGATAATCTTATTCTTATTTGCCTCTCTCCACTCTTCAGTGACAAGTTCAGAGTGTAATCACCAACAAGAGTCCTTAATATGCTGATTTAAGTGGCAGATCTCACATTTGAAACTATTTGAATTTGTGATATCAGACAAGTTGAAGATTAACATAAAGGAGATAACTGTGTTGACTTATGAAGATTTGAGACATTCATTGAACTTGCTTATACAATTCATTAACTGCTTCATGAGATCATCAATATTAATATTCTTAATAAGGTTCTGGCTAGTTGTGTAGAAATCATTCAAATGTGTATTGACAAAAGACTTTTGATGTTTTTTCAAATCAATAAGGAAAAGATTATGATAGAAGTTCTCTGAGTCATTTGTCAGTTTCTTATGATGTGCAACTAAGTAGTGAAATCTACTTTGAAATGCTAAATAATTATTAATGATGTATAGAGTAGTCAGCTCCTTCATGACATTGAGATGTTCTTTCATCAAAGACACTACATATTCAATATCAATCTTTTTTCATAATATGATAGTGTTGTTGAGTTTTAAGACTTCAATAATTGTACATACAAACCTCAATAAGAATTGCAATATACATTAATAGAGTACTTCAATTCCAATATTTTATTTTTTAATGTTCAACATGTTTTAACTAATATCATATAAGCAAATGTGTTAATTCTTGATTAGAATGTCAGTTTCATCAATGACTTTGACATTTGCAAGGATTCCCATACACTAAGTTTGGTAATTAGTGTCATCAAACATAGTTACCACCTTAGTATTCATAGATCTTTGGACATTCTTTTGATATTCATGGATCTGAGATTTGAAATCATCTGTAGATGTATTATTGTTGATATTTGAAGTGTTCTGACATGTTATTTGTTGACAAAAGATTAACAAATCTACTACACTTATTGTAATCATATCACTTGTGTTAGAAGTAGACTTTTGAGACTGAGGGCTTGAGGTTTCTTTACTAGCTGCTGTGAATTCATATATAGACTCAGGAGCAGATGTTTCACCAGACTCACAGCTTGATGAATTCATGATGTGATTTGAACTTGATTTCTGCTCCAGACCTTTTAATTCTTCATTCTTGTCTAGTGATAGAAATGCTTCAACAGCTCTAGAATGTGATTATAAAGATCACTTTCTCTCTGTTAAAGGAGTAGATAGTTCAGTCATTAGATCAGAGAGTGAACTCATCTAAACATATATACAGTCATTCTTAATGTGATTTTTATTAAAAACCAGCTATCTGAGCTATAACCTATAGGATGGTTGAATCTTATATTCAGAGGAGCTAGCTAGATTATTGCTATATTATGTACAAACAATCACATAGAGTGGGGCAGTTGTTAGAGCAATACTATTCAGATGAGCGCTGCTACAGTTTATAATCTGAGCAGATTCTGACATCTATTTTCTTCATCAATCTTAGAATTTCATTATATAGCAGTTAGCAACACAGAGAGTTTCCTTCTTATGTAGCTCACATTCACTCTCTAACAGTAAATAGTTAAAACAAATAAGAGAAAAACTATATATATTTAAAAATTTTTAAATATAAATAAAAAAGACACTTTACTGATATATTCAAATGATTTAAAAAGTTAACAAAAATAAATAAAAGCTAGTATAAAAGTAAAATATTTTAGATAATATTCAGAGTATAAGATATTTTCATATAATATATAGATTTTAGTAGAAATTATAATATTTAATGATATAAAATCTTCATATATACTATTCAGTATTTTTTTTTCAATATATTAATATTTTAAGATGATTTAAATTGATTTTTCATTAAGATATCTGTGTTATCAATAATTTTTATATCTGTAAAAATATTATTTTTTTAGATTTTATAATTTATTTCATTAAATATTATTATAATTATTATATTTATCAAAATTTATACTTTCTTATAATATTTATATATCTTCTATTTTAAAATATATACAGATGTATTTTTATTGATTTAAGTATTTTATTATATAATTATCATTTATTGATAAAATATTAGTAAATTAGCTATGGTTATGATAATTATATTACTTGTATTAGAAGTAGACATGAAAATAAAGTCAGAATTCAGATTAAAAGTATTATCATTCTTTTATAATTTATTACATATAGGTCTTTTTCTTATTTTATGACTAAAATTGATTTTTTTTATTATATTCTTTATTAATATATATTTAGTTTTTTCTTTATCTGCTGAGCTAGACTCTGACATCTAATTATGTTCTTTTTCATATATTAGAGAAAATAAGTCTTAAGATTTTAATTGAGAATGTAATAATATATATTATTTTATTTTAAAAATAGAAGATTATATACTCATTATAATATAAATGATGATTCTTCAAAGAATATAATTACTTCTTGCAATCAGATAATATTTTTGTAAAATCTTCTGATTTTATTGCAATAAGAGTCTTCTTTTATAGAATTGATATTGTAAAGTGATGATTTGTTTTAATTTTTTAAAGAATTTAATTACTTTTTGCAATTAAATAATTTTCCTGTGAAATTTTCTGATTTTATTGCAAAAAAGAGTCTTTTTTTATAGAATTGATATTGAGCTCATCCAATAGCCATCAACGCAATGAAATTTTGAATGAAAATCATGTTTTCCTCTCAAAAACGCGCAAACCGGGCTATAACCTTTGGGATGGTTGGTCTTCCATTGGTGGGAGGACTGGCAAGCTAACTGATATACGCGTACATCACGTGAGGTGGTGCGGCTACCGGGCGGTCATGCCCAAGGTCCTGCAAAAGCGGCGGGTCAGGCGCCATTCCCCGAAGCGGCAGGAGCCCTACCGCAACGGGAACCCAAAAGGAGGGGGAGGTTCCAAATGAGAGCCGACATCAACAAAAGATAGCAAAGGAACAAAGAAATATTACGAAATTCCTTATGAGCCTGGGTGAAATGTGAGGATTCGCTAGCTGGGGAGCCATCGGACGTTAGAAGCCTTCTGGAATGCTGGGCGAAATTAGGAATTTAGTTTTAGCCTGCGCCAAACATACGGAGAATCAATCCATCGTCCCATGATTACTTGGAACGACATAGTTTTAATCTTCATTGCTGAAGAGAGCAGATTTAAAACACAATAAGCAATTTCTCGAAAATCTGTAGATAGAATGAACAAAATACACTTGAAACGTGAATGACCCATAATTAGGAATTAAATGGTGTTTGGGGTCAGTCAGTTTCACTGTCACTCTTTCAGCACATACGTGGTCATCCCCTCCGCCATTCCCTCATCTCCCGTCATTATTTGATGATGCATGTTCGAACGTACGGTACCTGCATACACACGTTTATCAGTCTATACCTTCAAAACGCTGCATCTCCCTGTATATACGCGTAGTTACAGCACGTAACAGTCTTTTCTGGAAATTAAATAACTACCCGTTCGATTGGTTATTCGATGAACCAAGAAGCTGAAACACATGTTATTTGTGGCTTTGAACAACACATGAAATGTTTTCCATCGAGTATACTTTATGTCCACTTACGGAGGATCTTGGCTGGCCCTAATGAAACCTTTCCGGGAGGCACATCTGTATAATTTGAATCATTACGTATGTCTGCAATTAAATGGTAGGGTTGGTAGGCTCGGGAAATTGGTACGTCTTTTTCACCTCAGTTGGATGATAAATCAGCAGCTCAAAATAGGGAATAGCTTTTAGTTATAGATTGGTTTCATTTTCTTTTATACTCCTTGTCCAGCCACAACAAGAGTGTGAATGAACAGTTGATGATGTTAGGTAGTTCTGTAGACAGCAAGCTGCTCAAACTGTAAAGAGATCACCATAATCAGAAGATTGTAATGATCCTTTACTCATCAAAATCTGCAATTATCATGGGTTTTTTGGATCTCCCCTCAGCAAAGTTTGCAAAAAGGAAGCTGAAATGAAAGAAAACCAAACTTCCCAATTATTTTGTATAACTGATGATTCCTCTGACAGAGTCACAGTCTAGTGTGGATCAGGCTGAGTGTGGGAAGCATTAGTGAAACGCAAGGGAGCACGACTAGTGTTGTCATAGAAGCTTTACAATTTCATGACCTCATCAAATTAGTTACTTGACAAGCAAAAAGGCAAAAAGAGGGAAAACTTGAGGAAAATGGACAAGAGGACAGCGGCCAGCAGACAACGGACAACGCGGGACTGAAGAATGGGAAACCTGATGAAATCCTGGTTGGAAATAGTGGAGTTCTCTGGTCACAAGATCGTAGGATATTTCGGTTGTCTTCAAGTTCTTTACACAATTAACTAATATTAAATTGACTATTTCCAGGATGAAAAGGGACGGGGGCAATATAATTGAAGAGCGACCAGCCGGTTTCACCATAGCACAGGAAATAGTTAGCATTCTCCAACTTGGCTTTTTTGTTGACTGACTAAACAGTGCAAAGTAGTTATAACTATGGGTTTGGTTTTTGTTTGTCTTGTGTCGAAGATGATAGAATCCGGGAAGATTCTATCCCAGCCAATCCCTCATGGCAGAAAGGGAACGGATTTTTTGGATGACATGCTTCCTTCAGAGCCTCTCTTCGCATCCATGTCGCTCGAGTCATAACGACGTGGACGGGTCTTTCGAGGTGACGGCGTGAGACAGTCAGCAAACTGTGCTGGAATGTTTCGAGGTGACACTCGACGCTAAGGTTTCAGGCTGGCACGCTGGATGGCTTCTATCCGCGACTCTGCGAGTCTCCAGACGTAAAAAACTGAATCTTGAAGATCATGAATATTTCTGATAAAGTGAATAAAGAGCCACCGCCACAGTGGAGCTCAATTTTAATTATCCTCCCTTTGCCTCTTTATCATTATATGTCGTCAAGATTTAGGGTGATTTCTTCTTTGCCTCTGGCGTTTCGTGAGAGTTTGAATGAGGAGCAAAAAAGGAACCTAATGAAGGACCGAGTACAGAACAAATCCAACAAATGAGAGGGTAGCAAGGAAAAATAGACTGTAACTAGGAAACTAGTTATTTGTTCCACCCACCAAGTTCAAGTTGTATTTTCTTGTTTGAAGCGAGAGCAGGAGAGAAAACAACCTGGCGAATCATATCACTGCTTTCTTTACACCGCCTGGCTCTCAAGAATAATCAGTATGCAAGGTTGCAGCATCACTGACGTCTATCCTTGCTCACCTTGATTTCAAGAACCCGGCACTCTGGATCAGTCAGGCTTGGACATTGTGCAGCCTTGTTCATTGAGTGCAAAATTCCACTGCAGAGTCACCTCAAGACTTGCTGCTTCCTGCAAGAATAAGTGGCAGCTAGCACAAATTTGAAAAAATTAACTACTTTGTAACTACATGTCAGTGATCATTTTATCTCCTCATTTTATTTTGATGAAGTTCAGCTTGTCAAGGGTCATCAAAAATGTGGAGGGAAGTGTCAAAGTGTCACATCACTTGATACCACAATACAACAACTGCACTATGATGAGCACATTGTGATCAGGAGGACATATTTGCTTTGTCAATAACTTATCTTCAATTTCAAGACTTGAACATTTGGAGATAATTTACTTCCACCACTGGAGTAATAATACCTAGGTATCTATTCTTGATATACATTTCCCTCTATAGATTTATAGGTATGAGGGAACCATTTCATCCATACTTGTTAGAGGTTACACCCTTGCAGACATCTGTACACCTCATCTTTTCTTTTTTAAAAAATTAATACTAAATTAAATTAAAATTAATATCTCTTTTGCAGAATTACAACATTGAACGGATAATGCGCCACGCCTAATAAAAAGCACCGGTGGAGCCGAAGGGTAGGAAAATCCCACACACCACAAATGCTAGTTAGTTAATATGTATTAGGTCTTCTAATCATTTCATAATGCTGTAGCCTGTGCTGTGATAAGGTATGTGATGGACATTAAACTGTGCTCTGTAACATGTAATAAGAAAACAAATATAGAACTTCTCCGTCAATGGTTCAGCCCTGAAATAGTCATTTATATAGTTACCACTCGATGCCAGGGGGGAAGAAAGGAGCGGAAGAAGGAAAATAGGCATTGATTCCCCGTTTCTTAGTTCCTTGTTAGTTACTTATCATTCATTATTTTCAACCACATTGAACCACAAAATTAAGAAAGAAAAAAAGAAAAGAAGAGAAGAGAAGAGAAGAGAAGAGAAGAGAGGAGAAAGAAAATATGAAAATATGAAAATAAAAAGAGCAGGAAAGAAAAAGAGAAAGAGAAAAAAGAAGAGAAGAATAAAAAGATGTAGAAGAGTAGAAGAAGAAGGAAAAAAAAAAAAAAAGGGACAAGAAAAAGAAATAAAATACCAGGTACCCAGTTTGTCTGACGTTGTTGGAATTCGCTTCTTCCCCCCAATTTCGATTCAAATCCCAGGCCGTAATAAATATCTCCTCTTCCTCTTCTCTGATTCCGATCTTCTCATTTATTCTATTTGACTCCGGCTTCAGCTTATTCACATTCTTCCTCCGACCGACTTTCAGTATATATATATCATATAATAAACTACCCCCATTCCTCTCTTACTCTATAGTTCACACTTAATATCGCCATCCCAATCGGATTCTACATACAATCAATCCAACGACCTTCAAGCTCTCGTCTCTCAAGTTCTCAAGCTTCTACAGCCCAACATTCTCCAAATCCTCGTAATGCCTTCTTACACTCCCTCCTCGAATCAATATCCTCCCTGCCCGGGTCCACCCCCCAAGGGCCCTCTGCCACCAGTCCCCAAGTAATTCCCTCCGCCGGGGCCATTTTGCCTGTTCCCCATCGCCGTCGTTGTCATCATCACCGTCGACGTCATTGTTCCTACCAACTCTCAGGCCATCCATGATCCATACCATACCCGTCCTCGAACCATGAACGTCTAACGTATATAGATGGGACTCATTGTTGACAGCTGGCTGTCAATTGCATCCTGTCCGCTCGCCTAGCATGCTAAAACAATTTTCTGTCCCTCGGGTTATAATACTACTGTCCAACAAAAAATATTTATCAAAACACCAACTCCCAAACCCCCACTCCCTTTTCTTTTTTGATTTCATGCCGCGTTTCTCGTAACTTTTGACCGTTCAGAATTCCTCTCCGGTATCCTTCCCTGCCCCACGTCATCGCGATTTGAATTAAATGCCATGCTCCCTGATCCCTGGACTGCATACCTAACCTGGTTTTTTTGCCCCTTTCAGACGGATTTCGCCTATTATTATTATTCGTATGGAGAGTCAGGCACAACAAAAAGCAACCGAAAAAACGCCGGCCAGCCTGCCACATTAATGAATACGATTTGCGCTGCTCCGCCCCAAGGACTCTATTATAATCAAAGATACGATTCGAGAGGGTTTTTTCCTCGTTTTTCCAGCTCGAGTGGTTTGATTGCTGGAACATGAAGAATGCAGCGTCCTTTTTTTTTGAAACATTTTTGGTCATTCCACGCGGCTTTATTTTGTTTTTCCCTTCCGGGTTTAATTGCCGTGCTGAAAGCCTGAAGGCTGAAGGGGGAATCCGAAAGTCTTGTCAGCAACATCCAGCGTCTTCTGAGACACGGTTCAAACTGCCGTTCTGCGGCTGGGCATTCCATAATTAAATTTGCTACGGTTACCCCTGAACCCCTGTTCGCCCTATGCACAGCTAGCAGAAATAGTTTTGCGACTCAGTCATCTGACCCCATCCACTACTGACTTTGTTGGACTGTTGTTCCCTGTCAAATCAATTTTGCCGATTTCTACTCTGGGTTTCTCGGATCTCTTTCTTGGCTACGTCCGTCGCACACTCTTGCCTCCTCCCGACAGAATATTCTGCCAATATGTGCGGGAGCACCCTGTCTTCGCATCCATGCAACCTCCGATGCTGTCTGCACATAGCCGTTCTTCACTTAGTATATCCTGGAACTAAGCCTCGTCTCTCGTTCTTTTGGAGTCGAGACCTCCCCACACGGCATGAATCATCCCGATACAGCCAATGTTGTCACTTGGGGGCAGTGGAGTGATTAAGAATGCGGGGCAATTGGATACGAGGTGTGTTAAATCCGTTGGCAGGTCACTGATAATATTTTGATGGAGGCTTAAAACTGCAACAGCAGCAGTGGAACGGAGGGGTTCTACATATCCTGTATGCATTGCCAGATATTTCGACATCTCTTATGATCACTTTCATACGTGCTTCAATGTCGATTATGTGTTACATGCAGCTCAATCTCCATGAATCCTTCGCTTCCCCGCCTTTAAACACCGCCTTGGCTTAGTACGTGCAGTCTTTTTTTAAAGATGTTCAACGTTCCTAAAGTGTCCTCCACATTCAGCAGCAAAGGCGACTGACAAATCATGGGCTACCAGCTCTCTTTGTGGTCAACCAAGCAGGGCAGCCGCAGCTGTTCCTTGACTTGTTGAATGTTCTAAGAGTGGTCATTTGAATATCTGCTCTTTCATTCCACACCTTATCCTTCTATAATCCGCTTTTATTCCCCCTATCTCGTTCTGCTTTTCTAGGTGTTCTATACCTCATTTGGAAACGATGTTCTCGGCTCTTTTGTCCCCAGCCCGACAGCAGACTACATACTCCGCAACTCCGCATAGATGCATCCAGTCCACCGGTCTTGTCTATTCCTATCCTGCAATTCTAATCCCCTTTGTATTGTCCCTGTGCATTTTTCATTTTATCACCCATAAATATACGCTCTATCGTATATTTCCTTTGAGCATGTTACTACATTAATAATTCCTTTTTGATTTACTGATCGAATGCTGTCATGTCATGGAAGGCGATGATTTCTATATCCTCCTTTTGCATTGATGTACTTTCTCTGTTCCTTCCCGCCCCCTCCACCCCCTTCTTTTTTTTTTTGGTTCATGTTGTCTAAGCCCGATGCATTCATACCCTGGCGTTTCTTGCTTCTTTTTTGTATGTAAACCCGATATTACTTTTGATTATCCGTACGTTTTACATTTTAATAAATATATATCAGATTTTTTTTTTGGGAATGTATTGTTATTAGAATAGAGCAACGCCTACACTTTTCAATGGTATCATTGCAAGGTAGTACCTTCCTTACCTCCCTGTAGCTGATCAGTGCATGAAAGATGTGATATCCCAGTTCTTTCTCAATGTCTTCAATATCATATAATCGTGCCGCTGCGCAACCCACACTTCATGTGGGTGTGCCACATCAAAACAATAAAAACACCAAAATAATAAAAATCTTGTAATTTCATCATCTTCATCATCTTTATAAATTAATAACTCACCACAATGTCAAATAAGGATAAAAATATTGAAGATCATATTCAAAAAGCTATCACTTATCATCAAAAAAACTCAAATTTCAAAATACTGTCTCTGTCATGAGAATTTGAGATTCCTTATCAATATCTCTGAGCATATATCAATGGAAGGAATCTGAATACTGCAAAGATTCCAGTTAATAAAAGATTAAATAAGAGTCAAAAGAACATGATTAAACAATGAATCAAGCTGTTTGATGAAAAGAATTGTCCTCTCACAGTTGAACACATTGAAGATTTCATGAATTCAATGATAAGACATTAGCAGTTAGATTCTACTACCTCCCCTTCAAAAGTCAGCAAGATGTGGACTTATAGGTTCATTGAACATCTACCTGAGTATAAGAGAGTGAAATAGAAGTTAATGAATTCAAAGAGAGTGACAGTTGAAGATATTGAATATATCAATATATGATTTGAATATCTTTAAATTCTATTTGAGCAGTATTTATTTCACACCTATGACATATACAACTTCAATGAGATTGAATTTCAAAAAGGATAAAGACATGGAAAATAAGTTATAACTGTTTTTAAAAAAGTTAATTTTATCATTTTTTCATTCTTTTCAAGAGATTTAATTATAATCATTAAATATGTATTTATAAATAATTATATCATTCTATTATTGATAATTTTAGCCTTCAAAACATATTTGAAAAATTGATATACATAGATAGATTTACTCAGTAATTATAGAATTACTATATTAGATACTGATTTTACAAATGATAAGATTGAATTTGAATAACTTAAACATTTTAATACTGCTACAGAAAAGAGACAGAAAAGAAGTCATTAATTATTTTTAATAAATAATCATGAATCTTATATTACTGAAGAGTTTATACAATATATGAATTTTCATAAGATAATTCTATATAGATTTTTATTACATGTTACTCATTTATTATAATCTCTAAATAGTTTATCATTTTAGTAATATAAGTATTATTATTTCAAAAGTAGTCAACTACACTGCATGTCATGATCTTATTAAGTATGAAAAACAACAGTTTTTACAAAACCTCTTAGCTATGTGAAAGCAGACTTTTAAATCTAATAAAAATAGCTATAGAATAAACTTAATATAGTATATATTCATGAAATTCTTTTAATACTTTTAAGCAGTGAATTTTATCACCTTCTTCACTATAAATTTATAAAGATATAAATGATTCAGATCATATATCTATCTCTTCTTCTCAGCTATACTCATCAAAAACAATTCAAATGCTGAAACATTATATTAATATTGTGAAAATACTATATAAAGTATTAGAGATATTCTCAAATTAAAATCACTCATCTTGATATGTCATTTGAATAAAATATTCAAAGTAAGTTTAATTTATATGAAACTTAATAAGTAACAGACTATTGAATTAAAGAATTTTCTCAATATTAGTAAATATCAGAGTTAAAATAATTTATTATTAGATTCAAGTAAGAGAAGTTCTCATTATTAAAGATATCAATAGAAAAATCAAGCAGTATAAGAATAATAAAACTGAAATAGAGCAGAATAAGAAGTGATAAAAACTTGAAGTTAATCTTAAGAAAATTAATAATAATTTACTTATACTACTAACAGAAAAGGAATTAAATTAATTTACAGATGATATATAGACTAAAAATAATGTAGATAATTTTTTTATTATAGATTAGCTATTGATTATTGATATAAAGTGTAATAATAATAGTGTGATTCAATATTTTTATCATTTTAATATTTTTATCATTTTAGTATGGTGCAGTCACATGAGATGTGAGTTGTGCAGTGGTACAATTATATTCTATATATTATATTTGATGTTACTCTCTAGGTGTTAAATATAAAATAAATCATTATTATCATTAAAAAAGTTAATATAATTAAGTGATTAATTTTTATTATTAATAATTATTTTCAAAAAAAATTATATTAAATATTTTAATATAAGAATAAACTATTATATGATTAAAGATTTAAAGATAATATAAATAAATAAATAACTAATAAGTTAAAATTAATTTAATTAAAAAAATATTTAATAAATATTTTATAAAAATAAAGATAAAATATTATAATAACTATAAAAAAAATAATAATAAATCAAAATCTATATATAAAATTAAATAGTAGTTAATTATTAAATTTTTTAAAAGAAATTTAATGAATTTAAAAATTTTTATATATATAAATAAATAATAATTAATAATACTTTAAATTTTTATAAAATAAAAAAATATATTATAGCTTTAATCTAGATGCAGATGAATTAAAGCTTTAATTATCAATTAAAGAAATTAATTTAATAAAATACTAAAATAATATTTAAAAAATAAATTTAAGAAAAACTTTATTTATATACTTTATTATTATTATTATTATTATATAGCTTCTGTATTAATAAAGTAATTATTTATAAAATAATTATGAGATAATTATTATATTATTATTTATGATAATATAAAATAGACTTTATTCAATCTTCTTAATAATATAAGATTATAAACTAATATAATTTATAATCATAATTATTTAGATAATAATATAGTAATTAATCTCATAA